TTATATATACCATAACACCTGCTGGCCTCAGGTTTGCAACCAGCTTCTGACTGAGAAACCAGTAACCTGCTCCCAGTGTCAGAATCTCACTGAGGAAAACTGCATTAGGTTTTCTATCACTTTATCATTTCTGATATATCTGATGTATATTTGCATAGAAAATTAGTCAATAGGGTTTAATTTATCATTTGTATGTCTTCATGTCATGAGGTAGATCTCAGCCGGCTGGTGAGAGAAAAAGTAGATCTTGGTCTCAAAAAGTTTGAGCACCCTGCTCAACGGCGAGTGGAGAATGTGGAGGTTTATTCTAAACAGAGGAATCATGTGCATAAATTTGCACATTTACAGAATGGAGATGATTTCTATTTAGAAAGACGCTTTCACACGACTGAAACCACTGCAGGTACATCTTCATGTGACAAAAACCAAGGAATTTATGATTCACCTTTTCACATCTTTTTATTTTTAGATATTTTTGTGTGTGTGTTATTGCCTGAGGACAGATGTTATTCAGTTTCGTTTGCGTTTAAACAAAGATTAAAATCAGGAACTGACACGGTAACATGCCGCTCTCCATCTTCAACCAGGCAGCATCAGGTGAAAGACATTTCTATCTTTTTTAAATCTTCACAACATTTTTATTTTATGTGTTGCTGATCAAGTTAAATGTTTGTATTTTTACTGAGATCCAGTTTAAATGAAATTCATCCTGTAAAAACATGAAATCCTGCAAAATGCAGCAAGATTTGGTTCGTAACTTAACATCAAACTTCTTGGATGAAACTAAAACAAAATGTAACAAATACATGAGGGAAAAACTTTTCAACAACATTTTCTTTAAAGTGTGACTAAAACATTATAAACTGATGAAAACAGCAGATAGAAATAAACTCTGAGCAAAAACAGAAAATGCAGTGAAAGTTTTTATCAGTTCCATCAGACGGATCCCACAGATCGGTCAGAAACACACAGAACTTCATGTCAGATTTTATCTGCTGCTGAAAACATGAACCAACAAAATGTCAGAAAACAGAAACTTTATTTATTTTACCAGAAAGTTTTACATTCTAAGATATCAACCAAATTCACATGAAGCTAAAAGCTCCTTTTAATCTGTTGAATGTGGGTTAGGACATTGATGGCTGCACAGTGGTGCAGTTGGTAGCTCTGTCGCCTTGCAGCAAGAAGGTTTTGGGTTTGATTCCCGGCCCGGGTCCTTCTGCACAGAGTCTGCATGTTCTCCCTGTGCTTGGTGGGTTCTTCCTCCCACTGTCCAAAACAAGACTGTCAGTTAATTGGTCTCTCTAAGTTAAGGTGTGTGTGTGTGGGTGTGTGTGTGTGTGTGTGTGTGTGTGTGTGTGTGTGTCTCTGTGCTCAGACTAGTGACCTGTCCAGGTGACCCCGCCTCTCGCCCAGAACGTAGCTGCAGAGGCACCAGCACTCCTGACCCACCAGGGACAAGGTGTTAGAAAATGGATGGATGGACGTTGATCCATTATCAGCAGAACCAGCGTCCTTAGAGGCGGTCCAAACTCCTCTGATCAGAATCTGTAAAACTTTGAGGTTTCAGGAGGAAGTCAGAGCTGCAGCTGCAGGTTGTTCAAATTTATCTTTAACAAGAGAAAACATGCAAAGATAGAGCTGCTTACCGACTATAGAAAGGTGTAAAAGCTGTAATAATAAATAAATATTTATCCACCACATATTCAGAAACGTCTCAATAATCTTTAACTCACCACTTTGTTTGCCAGCTGCCAATAAACAGCAGAGAAGAGGAATCAGACGTGGAAAAGTGGAGAAACAAACAAAGCCTCCATGTTTTTGTCTGGAGGAAAAGTGGCTGAGATGTGATATTTTTCTGGCTTGCTAACATTTAGCACATAACACAATTTGTCTGTTAAAGTGTCATTGTGTGGATCAGGATCAGGCGCTGCTCATTATTACATCTAGAGATGTTTTAACATGTTAGTTTCAGGAAATGTCAAACTCTCTGAGTCACTTTCAGCTTGTTTTGAAGTGCAGGTTATAAATTACACACCAGTTTTTAAATGACATAAATAGATAAAGTTGCAGTTATTCTAAAATAATTATAAAATCAGTTTAGGATTAGGATTAGGATTAGGGTTAGGATTAGGGTTAGGATTAGGATTAGGGTTAGGGTTAGGATTACTGTTCAAATCAGAGAAATAATACAATCTGACTATTCTGAGAAACAGAATGAGCTAAAAAACTCAACATGTGATCTCTGTGCTTTTGAAAGTTTCACATTTTCCTCTGATAACTATGAGCTGCATTTTGTTTATTCAGGAACTTTGCTTTGTGTTCCTGGTTTCTGGTACGGCCGTAAATGTGACGCACAAGCCTCCAGTGCTAACAGCGATGGAGGACAGCGGCTCTTCTCTCGGTCCACTGGGTTCATGTCTGCTCCTGAAATGATCTGATTGGTGGTTGGAAAAACTCTCATTGTGTTCAAGTTGTGCTAAAAGGAGTTAGCCAATCATCTCAATGCTAAAACTGTAGCTAATGCTAATGTTAGCATCCACAGTCCACATTTCTAAAAAAGTTCCTGAAATCTGGAAAGATGAATGGATGGAATAAAACTTGATCTGATCTGTTGGTTAAAAACCTGAAAAACAAATTAAAAATAAATATTTTATTTTTGAGTTCTAATGTTTATTCAGGATTTAGCAGGAAAAAGGATTTTTGAATGGGAAATGTTGTCAATATCTGGTTTTCAATTAAAATATGATAAACTAATTACAGACCCTGCAGGAAACTGAACAATGTTTCCTAGTTTTCAAATATATTTTATGGTAAATTTGTGGGATTAGCAGATTAATGTTCCTGAGTCTTATTTATGAGTAATAGAGAAAAATATTAACTCTTCATTTGTTTTAATTTAGAGTTAATAGATAAAATCAGAGTGATTATTTATCAATATATCAGTGGATTAAGTCAGTGCAGAAGGAAATAATGCAGATTATTCATTAATATTTACTGAATTAATCTGACAGTTGAAAACTCATCATCATCTCTAATTAATCTAAATCTATGTTTCCTCCTCCAGAGTTTTATCATGAAAGCTGATCAGAACATTAGCAGAACAAACTTCCTCCTTCCAACCAGAAGAAACTCTGAGATAAATGAAGCTGCATGTCATCAGAGTTAATCTGGATTACAGACATTTTCTAAGAATTATTAACATTTTAATCAGACTGAGCTGCAGGATCTATATAGTTCAGTGTTTCAACAATAATTTGCTTCTTCATAGTTTTGCAGCAATGGTGAAAATTAGGAGTAAAATGATCAGAACCAGGAGATTCTTGTTTTTAATATTTTTACCGTTTGTGTGGGCTGGTATTATAATGGGTAAGTAAAACATTTATTACTTCCTTTATTTTATTATCATTCAGATTTGAACAGATTATTGCTTTCAAAGTGAGGATGAAACAGGAAATGCAGTGAAAATATTAATAATAAATATTGAAACATGATTCAAAGTTAGAGCAGTAACTCTGTTATTTCTGGTCTCATATTTTTCTGATCATTTACTCAACAACATGTCTCCCTCTGACTAATAATCTCACAATTCAGATTTTGATGTTTGTGAGAAAATTTAGAAAATGAAAACACAGAAAACATTTGAATGTTTTTTCTTTGCCGTATTGAATAAATGTTATTTTTTTATTTCACAGATGAATCCAGAATTACTAACAGGAGTTTCAGGTTAAAACTAATATTTTATTTCTGCAAACAGGTTTTTTCTATCTCACAGTAATATTTATATTTTATAGCAGAGCAGCAATAGTCCAAACCTGAAGCTGATAAATGAAGGAAGGAGCTAAAGATTAGGGTGATGGCAGATGTTATGTCCCTCAGGCACATTATAATTATTGTTATTTTTTCTGGATTGTTTTGTATTGACTTTAGTTGAATGACTTTCTGTTTAATAAACTTTGGAGTTTGGATAATTCCTCTTTTGTAATCTGGTCTTGTTAATCGGTGGCTGTTGGTCAGCCTGTGAATAGGTTGGACCAGGAAAAGTCCAGCACCACCAAACAGCCCCGTTCTGATGGATGCCACGTCTCCAGCCTGACATGCGCTTGTTTTTATCAGCTCTTTGTTTTTTTGCTGTTTTTTGTCCGTTGTGATTTTGGCCTGGTGGGACCGATTGTCCTGTTTTCAATACTTTTCTTTGCAGTGGATCCTTATTCCGGGTGCAGCAGGGCTTCCACGGCCTGCATCGGGTCGGCCCCTGCTGGACCGTTTGGTTCTTTTTGGTCGGCTCACCGGGTCCAACTTTCTGTTCATACTTTGGGATTTTCTTTGAGGAACTGAGGATTTAATTCTCTCTGTTCCTCCACAGAAAACCAAAAGAAGCTGAAACAAAAGAATCAGTCAAGAGAGTTTTGACATAAAATGATGTTTTTAATCCTCATTTTGCCTTAAATATGTTAAATATTTCTCATATATGTTGAGCCCTTTGTGGCCGTAACAGCAAAGAGCCTCCGAGGTTTGGATTTTATTAAAGATAAATAATCAATAGCAGCAAACAGAAAGCTGATCAATGATAAGAGATTTATTGATGGAATGTCAAGAAATATGTTTTCATTAATCATTGGAAATGTTATAAAGTATTTTAACATGTTATTATTAAGCAGGAACATAAATAAACCAGGAATATTTTTAATGATTCTCCTGCTGCATCAGAGCGATTCCTCCCATGTTTCCTATCAGAACCAGAAACTTTTGGTTCAGTGAACATCATCTGGATCATGGAGACTATTTGCTGAGATCTTGTTTCCAGGCAGATTTTCTATGATCCTTCAGAGGGATCTGGGTTTCCTCCTCAACACCTTTACACTCAACTTTCTTCTGCTTTTAATGTTGCAGAGTCTGAAACCAGCATGTCCTGTGTTATCAACCAGGACTGTATTTTACCATGTCGGTTTGAGAAAAGGATCAACTACATGGAATGGTATCTATATCAAACATCATCTATGATTGTCTCCTATGACCATCGTGGCTCCAGTTACTCTGAGAGCTTCAGATCCAGAGCGTCTCTGTTTGAGGATCAGATCTCCAGAGGAAACGGCGACCTGCTGCTGAGAGGAGTGAAGGTTGATGATGAGGGACGATATTTGTGCGTTGAAGAAATAAATGACATCTATTATAGACATTATGTTGACTTTACCATAGAAGGTAAAACACTTTAACCTGAAAACATTTTATTGATTCATATTTTGAGTTTTTATATTTTGGTTCCAGGACATTTATCTGCTTAATAGTTCTTTATTTTCTCATGTTTCTGCTGCAGCTCCAGGTTCTGACATCAGAATCCATCAGTATGGAAACAGAACCACCTGCAGCTCAGAGGGAATCTACCCTCAACCTGAACTCACCTGGTCCCCTGAGCCTCCATCCAACACGGCTCTGCAGAACAGAACCACAGTCCATCAGACTGAGGAGAAGCTTTATGACATCAGAAGCTCTCTGACGGGTCCAGACGGTTCTGATTGGATATATAGCTGCACCATCAGAACCAGCAGGAACTGGTGGAAAACAAGTTTAACCAGAGCAGGTCAGCAGATGGGCAGAAAGTTCTGATATCATTTAATAAACAGTTTTTTGTTTACATTTAATTTGACTTACTGTAATGTTTACAGTATTACTGTAAACATTACAGTATTACTGTAAACATTACAGTATTACTGTAAGCACTACAGTATTACTGTAAGCATTACAGTAATACTGTAAACATTACAGTATTACTGTAATGTTTACAGTAATACTGTAAGCATTAGTATTACTGTAAGCATTACAGTATTACTGTAAACATTACAGTATTACTGTAAGCACTACAGTATTACTGTAAACATTACAGTATTACTGTAAGCATTACAGTAATACTGTAACCATTACAGTTTTACTGTAAACATTACAGTATTACTGTAAGCATTACAGTATTACTGTAAACATTACAGTATTACTGTAAGCATTACAGTAATACTGTAAACATTACAGTAATACTGTAAGCATTACAGTATTACTGTAAACATTACAGTATTACTGTAAGCACTACAGTATTACTGTAAGCATTACAGTAATACTGTAAACATTACAGTATTACTGTAAACATTACAGTATTACTGTAAGCACTACAGTATTACTGTAAACATTACAGTATTACTGTAAGCATTACAGTATTACTGTAAGCACTACAGTATTACTGTAAGCATTACAGTAATACTGTAAACATTACAGTATTACTGTAAGCACTACAGTATTACTGTAAGCATTACAGTAATACTGTAAACATTACAGTATTACTGTAAGCACTACAGTATTACTGTAAACATTACAGTATAACTGTAATATTTACAGTATTACTGTAAGCACTACAGTAATACTGTAAGCATTACAGTAATACTGTAAACATTACAGTATTACTGTAATCATTACAGTATTACTGTAAGCATTACAGTATTACTGTAAGCATTACAGTAATACTGTAAGCACTACAGTATTACTGTAAACATTACAGTATTACTGTAATCATTACAGTATTACTGTAATGCTTACAGTAATACTGTAATGTTTACAGTATTACTGTAAACATTACAGTTTTACTGTAAACATTACAGTATTACTGTAAGCATTACAGTATTACTGTAAACATTACAGTATTACTGTAGCACTACAGTATTACTGTAAGCACTACAGTATTACTGTAATCATTACAGTATTACTGTAAGCACTACAGTATTACTGTAAGCATTACAGTAATACTGTAAACATTACAGTATTACTGTAAACATTACAGTATTACTGTAAGCACTACAGTATTACTGTGATGCAGATTAGAAAATGAAACATCCAGAGGTTTCTGGATCCAGCTGTGTGTGATCCACTGGTTCCAGCTCCACGTCCCTCGGATCGGATGCGTGTTTCTCTCCCTGCTTTGCGTTCTGCCAGACCTGCTGCTCTGTAAGCTGCTGCTGCGTCTCTCATTCTACCCGGCCTCTCGCTCAGCTGCTCCTTTTATTGCCCCATTTCTGGGTTGCCCCCATTGCAGCTGAGGGGCAACAGCTGTGTGAAGTGAAGTGGACGTCTCCAGAGACAGCAGCCGCAAAAGGAATCAGCACACATGCAACTCAACATAAACCCAAAATAAATATATCAGCAAATGTAGAAACCAGGACAATAACTGAAAATGGCCACATTGCTACACAATGCCTCCATGTTTCCTATCAAAACCAGAACTTTTGGTTCAGTGAACATCATCTGGATCATGGAGACTATTTGCTGAGATCTTGTTTCCAGCAGGTTTTCTATGATCCTTCAGAGGGATCTGGGATTTCCTCCTCAACACCTTTACACTCAACTTTCTTCTGCTTTTATTGTTGCAGAGTCTGGAACCAGCATGTCCTGTGTTATCAACCAGGACTGTATTTTACCATGTCGGTTCAGGAATCGGGTTGCCAACATGACATGGGAGCGTGAAATACCAAAATCAGGGATTGTAAGTTATGACCAGGGTAACATCAGAACCTCTGAGAGCTTCAGATCCAGAGCGTCTCTGTTTGAGGATCAGATCTCCAGAGGAAACGGCGACCTGCTGCTGAGAGGAGTGAAGGTTGATGATGAGGGACGATATGAGTGTCATGTTTTTACAACTGGCATCTATTATAGACGTTCTGTTGTCCTTGAGATAGAAGGTAGGACATCTTCATTTGAAAACCTTTCATTCAAAGAAGATTTGGATAGTTTGTATTTTGTTGTTGTGGGATGTTTCTGATGTGAAATGTTCATTTTTTATTCTCTTATTTTCAGCTCCAGTCTCTTCAATCAGAATCTATCAGGAAGGAAACAGAATCACCTGCAGCTCAGAGGGAATCTACCCTCAACCTGAACTCACCTGGTCCACTAAGCCTCCATCCAACATGACTCTGCAGAACAGAACCACAGTCCATCAGACTGAGGAGAAGCTTTATGACATCAGCAGCTCTCTGATGGTTACAGATGAAGATCCATATCTGATGTACATATGCGGCATCGGAACCAGGGAGAACCGGAGGAGAGCAATTCTAAATTTTCCAGGTCAGCAGATATACAGAAAGTTCTGATATCATTTAATAAGCTGGTTTTTTAGTTTCTTCCTTACATTTGATGTGACTTTTTCTTGAAACCTCATGAAACATCCAGAGGTTTCATGAGGTTTGATTCACATTCAGAGGGATTTTATTTAATGCCTTTCTAAACCCCATTTTACCGTCAGCAGGACAAAATGAGAGGAAGCCTAATTTAAAATGCATCCACCTGTAAATGAAAAGTATTGTTCCAACATTATAACTGATGGTAAACAGTGAAACGTATTGTGAGGAAAAACACTTTGACATTCTGGACAATGATCTGGTCACTTTAAGGCTGACTTTGTGGAAACGTTTGTCAAGAATAATGGAAAAGATCAAAGCAGGTTTATAAGTTTTATTCCTATGAAGATGCAGAAATAAAGAAAGAAAATGCTACATGCTAGCTGTGCTATTATTATTATTATTATTATTATTATTATTATTATTATTATTATTATTATTATATTATTATTATTATTATATATTATTATTATTATTATTATTATTATAGTTAAACTAGGAATAAAATGGAAACAATCTCCAGGTTGAGCATCAGAAACCAGATGCTTAAAGTTTATAATTATTAACATTTATTCATAAAAATGTTGGCAGCTGATGGGAACCAGCGGAGCCACCAGGGGGCGCTTCCAGCCTCACACAAATAAACGCTACAGAAACGAATCAGTAAAGCAACATGCAGCACAAATTAAAATGATTTAAATAAATCAAAACGGAAAACATATTAGTAAAATATAAAGTCAATCAAAAGTTGTTTCACTGCAGACTCTGAGGCAAATGAAGCTCTAGAATAATAATTATTCTGATTATAGATCAGTTATAGATATTAGGAATGAATTGAATGAACAAAACTCAGGTTCAGGATTTACATTTAGTTCAGAGTTTAAACTGTTAAGCAATAATTTGTTTCTTCATGATTTGCAGAAAAAGATATAAAAGTTTGAATCTCATCACTAAAGATAAATAATCAAAATACCAGCAAACAAAAAGCTGCTCAAAGGTTCTGCATCAGAGCGATTCCTCCATGTTTCCTATCAGAACCAGAACTTTTGGTTCAGTGAACATCATCTGGATCATGGAGACTATTTGCTGAGATCTTGTTTCCAGGCAGGTTTTCTATGATCCTGCAGAGGGATCTGGGTTTCCTCTCAACACCTTTACACTCAACTTTCTCTGCTTTTATTTATTTATTGCAGGGATTGGAACCAGCATGTCCTGTGTTATCAACCAGGACTGTATTTTACCATGTCGGTTTGAGAACGAGGACCACCAAGAGGAATGGTCTCTATATGAAACATTATCTCTGATTGTTCTCCTATGACATCATGGCTCCAGTTACTCTGAGAGCTTACAGATCCAGAGCGTCTTGTTTGAGGATCAGATCTCCAGAGGAAACGGCGACCTGCTGCTGAGAGGAGTGAAGGTTAATGATGAGGGAGGATATGTGTGCACTGCAGTGATTAATGGCTTCTATCATAAACGTTTTGTTTCCTTGCAGTAGAAGGTAGGTCACTTTATTTAAAATAAAAACTTTATAGAAATAAGATTATAAAAGTTACATTTATATTTTGTTTTCTGACAAATTGTTCATTTATTCATGTTTCTGCTGCAGCTCCAGTTTCTGACATCAGAATCCATCAGGATGGAAACAGAAACCACCTGCAGCTCAGAGGGGATCTACCCTCAACCTGAACTCACCTGGTCCACTGAGCCTCCATCCAACACGGCTCTGCAGAACAGAACACAGTCCATCAGACTGAGGAGAAGCTTGATGACATCAGCAGCTCTCTGACGGGTCCGGACGGTTCTGATCGGATCTACAGCTGCACCATCAGAACCAGGAGCACCAGAGGAGAGCAACTTTTAGCTGAACCAGGTCGCAGATGAAAGAAAGTTCTGATATTTAAAATCTTTCTGTTTTTGTTTCTTTTTACATTTAATTTGACTTTTACTTGAATCTTCATAATGAAAATGCAAATAACTAATTTTCTCTAAAAAGCTTCTTTATGCCATGATAGTTTCCATAGAGTGAAGCTTTACATCAAGTGCATCACAAACTGAAAGTCTGCAAAATGCAGCTGATTGATTTATTTTATTAAATCACTTTTTAAACACATTAAAAACATTTCAATATAATTTAAAGACAGAATCAAACCTTCTTAATAAAATGCAGCTGATTTATATCATAATTGTATTAATATTTCCAGTCCTTTTGCTTTGCAGAAACTTTTATTTCTGAGTTTCCTGCAGAATATTTGATGTTAAAGAATTATTCTTTCTTTGTTCATTAGCTGATTTATTTCATCAACATTTCCAAATTCTTATTAAAATACAACATCTAACAGGCCGAGTATATTTAGAAGCTGAACTCTAAATATCGTCTTTTATTCCATATATTGATATATTTCAAATCTTCCTTCTCATCCTTGTGTTTAGTCTTATTGATCACTGCAGCAGTGACTAAATATCAATCAGGAAATTGATCGTGTTGCATCAACCTTCCAGACGTCTCAGGTTCTGGTTCTGGTTCTGGTTCTGGTTCTGGTTCTGCATCCGAACCAGGAAAAGCAGCATTCAGCTTCTATGCTCCACAAATCTGGAAGAAACTTCCAGAAAAGTGTAAAAGAGCCAAAAACACGGAGTTCCTTTAAATCAACCAGTCAAAGTTTATTTGTATAGCAGCTTCAGCAACAAGGCTTTTCAAAGTGCTTCACATCATAAAGACCCAAAAGAAACACAATGAGAAACATCTTCAGTCGTTACACATCAGATTGTTCATTAATATTTAAAGCAATAACTGGAACATTGATCAGTATATTTCACTATCATTGATGATTGTGATGCCTTCTGACTAAATGTTATTGCTTATTTCATCACTGGTTACTGTTTCATAATGTGAAGCAGTTTGAACTGCTTGTTGCTGAAACTGAACTCAGAAACTTTGCTTTCTCAGGTGCTGAGGTTCCAATCAGCTGCACTTCCTTCAACATTTCTGCGTCCAGTTTGGTCTGGAGGTTCAACCAGCGTCAGATCATCCTGACCAAGACTGACAGAAACATCTACAACATCTCAGAGGAGTGGAGGAAACATGTGAGGGATGTTTCAGCGTCCGGCAGCCTCACCTTACAGAATGTGACCTCAGATCAGGAGGGAGTTTACAGCTGTGAGCTCAGTGATGATGAGACGATGATAACTCAGCTCTATCTGAGGAGGACTGGAGGTAACAGGATTCAGGATTTCAGCTTCATTAGATGCTCACAATCTGACATTGTAAACTATAAATGAGTCTTTAAGCTAAACTCCTGAACTTCTTTGGTTCCAGAGAATCTGGTGGTTCCTGAACTCATCAGACGGTCGGTGGTTTGTGTTGTGATTGCAGCAGCAGCAGCTGGATTCATAATGTTCTACAAGAAGAAGATGGAGGAAAGTGAAGCTCTGCAGCTTTAAAGCTTTCATTCACATTCAGAGAGTGGTTTTGTTTTAATGCCATTCTCCCATTTTACCCTCAAGATGATTGATGAGCTGTGATGGTTTCACTAAATGATCAGCTTCATGTTCTTGAGATGATTCTCATATTTGGAGATATTTCTGTTTTTATTTTTAGGATGATTTCATCTTCTGCCCAGCAGGGGGCGCAGCTAAACATATTCTTTATATTCTTCCAGCTAAACTTTCTCAGATCTTTATCAATAAAATGTTTATTTCTATAGAAAATTAGTTTTTTATTACATCTATTGATGATTTATGAGCTTTTATGATTTACAAGCTTTATGTAGTTTTACATTATTAGTTCTCTATATTTAGTTTTTCCTCACATTTGTACATATTTCTGTTTAATCTAAATGTGAAGATTTTACTCTGGTTGCATCTTCTGCCCAGCAGGGGGCGCAGCTAAACATGTTCTTTATATTCTGCCAGTTTCTCAGAAATTAACCAATAAAATGTTTATTTCTATAGAAAATGAATTGTATTACATAAATAGATGATTTGTGAGCTTTGATGTAGTTTAGCAAAATGATTATTTCTTCGTGTTCTTTTGTTGTTTCTCATATTTGTTAATTTATGTTCATGTCTTTTAATTATTTGTCACATTTGCATATATTTCAGATTTTTTCCTAAGATTTTACTGTGTGTGTAACATCTGCCCAGCAGGGGGCGCAGCTAAACATATCATTTATATCCTTCCAGCTAAACTTTCTCAGATCTTTATTAATGCATGATGTTCATTTCTGTTGAAAGATTTCTACATAATCATTTGTTATTGTATAAATACTTTGTTTTTTAAATAAAGAAACATTAATTTTAAATGCCTCCTTTATTTTTCCAACAGCGTAACATTGATCACCAAAATACATGAGGATGATTTGTGTTTCTGTTTAGAATGAAGTGATAAAACTTGTTACATTTGGGAATATTTTGCTACAGATATTTACATGTCAGGAGGATTCATCAGATGAATAAATGAGGTTAAAGGCAACAGCAAAAACAGAAGATAAACATTTTTATTCAAGTCATGTAGCAACAACAGATTAGATCAGAAACATTAAACTGCAGAAAACACAACATCATGACTTAAAGTGCTGCAAACATTCAGGTTATACATGTAAACATTAAAACACTAATGGCCTCATCAGTCAGTTTGTCTTCATTAGATTTTACATTAAGGGATTATTTATCTTCACTGAGCTGCAGTAAACTCAGCTGTTGGGATTTAATGGTTTCACTTTAATCCACTGAAAATAAGATGGTGACATTTATTTTGATCAGTTTCCTTCATCACTGCATTTTAAGGGAGTCATAATGTTGCAATTATTGGCTTCATCCTTACATATTAGACTCTATTCAACTGTACATTTATGTACAAACATATTTAAAGTTAAATAAAATAAATATTTGCAGTCATTGGGAGTGAAATGTTGAAATTAGTTTTGAAATGTTTCCAGTTCAATCACACTTTAACCTCCAAAAACCCCAAAAATGATTTAATGGAACAAAGTTAAAATATGTGGACAAGATGTTTAACTAAAGAAGAATAAATAAAATGTAAGAAGGAAAAATTCAGTCAGTGATTTTTCTCTTTTGGGGGATTTCATACTGAATGATGCACCAGCTGAACATCTTTTATATCTATGAAAGATTGACTGGTGACAAATACTATTTAATTGACCGTATATTTAAACAAATTACACAAATGTCATTTGTTTGTTGTTGAGACGCAGTAAAACAATAAAATGGTTAAACATCTTTTAAAATAAAAGATGTTTTTTTATCTTTGGAGAGACTAAATATTTAAGATGATGTCCTAATTTTTCACATGAATGTATTTATAGGTAAAGATTATTTTTAATAAAACAGATTCTAATTATAAATCTGTTTCTCTATCAGACTGATGAGGCCAACAGTGACTGTCTGAAATAAAATAAACATAAATAAAAATAACCAAATCAAGCTGATAGTTTGGCCTTTATGAGAAAAATCCTTCTGGTTTTGAATTACAGCAGCGCTGAAATGTGTTTGGAGGAAACCATCAGTACATCAGGCTCCCGTCCTGCTCCGCATCAGTACAATAATTTTCCAGTAGAAACACAGCAGAAACATCACTATCACAAAAATGATTCCAATCACCAACCAAATTATCCAGGATGATTTATCTGAAAGGAAAAAACTCATGAGAATGAAACTCTGCCTGGATATATTTTAGTTTCCTCATATTTGTGTATTTTTGATGTTTCCTCTTACCGTCTCTCTTCACAGTGATCTGGGTTACCGTGGTGTCATGTCCGTCGCTGGTCTCACAGCTGTACTTTCCCTCCAGATCGGGATCGAGTCCCTGCAGACTGAGGTCTCCAAGCTCTGAAACGTCCCTCACATGTTTCCTCCACCTCTCTGACACGGACCGGTTCCTTCCCGTCTGATTCAGAACCATCTGATGGTCGAATCTCCAAACTACAGACTGAACCGTTCAGGCCCAAGCAGGGAAGCGTCGTTTCATCTGTCGTCACCGTAACTGATGCTGAAAACCACAGATGGGAATTAACTGCTTTTATTCAGTAAGACTCATTTCTTGGCTGAGTTGAACTTGTTCTTGAGTAAAAACATGTTGAAGTTTCTTCTCCCAGCTCAGGGTTTGTTTCCTCTGATGATGAAAAGGGAAACAGAAAAATGATCCCAGATTCTGTGACTCAAACTTCTGGCTTCTCCAGTGAAAAGAAAGAAAAAACCAACATGAAGCAGAGGAAAGTCTCAGTGGAACCAAATACTCACATAGTTTCCTGAACGTTGCTCTCCTCTGGTTGCTCCTGGTTCTGATGGTGCAGCTGTAGATCCAATCAGAACCGTCTGGATCAATCAGAGAGCTGCTGATGTCATAAAGCTTCTCTTCAGTCTGATGGACTGTGGTTCTGTTCTGCAGAGTCGTGTTGGATGGAGGCTCAGTGGACCAGGTGAGTTCAGGTTGAGGGTAGATCCCCTCTGAGCTGCAGGTGGTTCTGTTTCCATCCTGATGGATTCTGATGTCAGAACCTGGAGCTGTGGAAAGATAATCGGAGAAGTTCAGCACATGAACAAACCTCCAAGGTTTTTATTTTATTTATTGATCCGTTGCTCTTACCGTCCACACTCAGTCTTATTATTGAATCTTGATGTCCTTTAATGGTGCTGATGAAGCAGTTGTATCTTCCCTGATCCTGAACTTTGACCTCTCTCAGCAGCAGGGAAGCGTTTCCTCTGGAGATCTGATCCTGAAACAGAGACGTTCTGCCTCTGAAGTTCTGGTTCTGGAGGTCTAGCTGGTCCTGGTTGCTATAATAAGAGTGAACTGTGAGCTCTGAGGATTGCAGCTGAGTCCAGTGGATGACGGGTTCACTGTCGCTCTGGAAGCTGCAGGGGAAGACGCAGCTCTGCTTGACGACACAGGAAACCTCTGCATCTGTCAGTAGACCTGCACAGAAACAGATCCAGGGTCAGAGCAGAGAAATTAATCCATGCAAGTTGGTGTAATGATCAGCATGAGTTGAGCAACAATGCAGTGGACATTTAATTAACTGTAATTAAATATTATACTTTCCTGCGGTTCAAAAACGGTCGTAGTTTTATTTCTGTGCTCACATGTTGCTGTTCAACCGGCCGGTTTGATGCTCTGTCCTCACAGTAACGTGTTCAAACCCATCCTCCCCCATTTTGTTTCCAAGTTCATTTGAAGGCAAAATGTCCCAAATTTCAGCTCCATGACTTTTTATGATGTGTTAAACTAAATGTGACGTGTTCTTAACTGCAGTGGAGGCTTTTATTTTCACACATTTAGCAGAAATGAACAGCTGAATATCAAAAGCCTCAGAAACTCCTACACAGAACAAAGTTATATTCAGGAATGTTCATTATTCATCATTTATTGTTATTTATTATTTGTTTCATCAGATCTGTTGTGACAGATTCCCTCTATAAACCATTTACTAGTTTGTAGAGGAAGTGTTAATGCACCTTTAATTATCCTCATTACAAGTGGAAAGCTGAGCTTATGAAAGTGATTCATGATTTCCTGGGTGAAACCTTTGGCTGCCTACAAACATATCAGCTCATGCACTGAACGGTTGTACCAGATCTGATGATCTGCTACAACTGAACTGTTCACAGAAAACTAATGAACTTTGACTTTAAACAGAAGAAAAGACAATTTGGAGAAAAATAATGGCTGCATGCAGATAGCAGTTTAGCTTTGGACCAAATCAGATGGTCTTATTAATGTTGGTCTCATTAACCGGTTCAGAGCGACGCAGAGCTGCTGCTGTAAAATGGCAGGAACTGGCGGTAGAAATCAACATCTCATTTTATTAAAGCCTAATAACACAAAGGTGCTAATATATTAAAAAAAGAAGAAAACACAGAGAAAAGCTACAAAAACTCACCTATTTTCCAGAAACTCATTAAAACCAGGAGAGTTAGAGACTGCATTATTTTTATCATCTTCATTTTACCGGACTGAGCAGCAACACGTGGAACTGAACCGACGGTTTCAAGTGAACAAAGAAGAAAAGAAAAAGAAAAAGTTCCTGCAGATCCTGAAATATTTCTTCAGAGCAGATCAAATCTACAAGCCTGAACACGACTCACAGCATCAAGTTCAAACCTGAAGGAAAACCTGTAGAGAGTCTGAAGTTTTATTTTCCTGGATCTGTCAGGAGTTTCTTTTGTTTGTTTATTCTTACATAATTGTTAAAACTGTCACTATGTTGTGACAGAATGAGACCAGATATCAATTATTTTAGGGCAACCAGACGAGAAGCAACATTTACATTTCAGGTTCATCCAAACAAAACTGAAGGATCTGTTTGGGGTGCAGAGCTACATGCAGTAGATGTGTTTGTTAGAAGCTGAGGGAACAGACAGGGAACCGTTTGGACCTTTCAGGCTCCCGTCCTGCTCCGCATGTTCACACTACATCTCCCCAGAAATAAGACATTTTTCCCTCAGACATGGATTTAGACTCAGCAATAATAAATCCACACAAACATCTGCTCAGTGAAACACAAGGAGAATATTTACACATTATAATGTCATCATTTTATTTCAAAACAACTTCTTTTATTTGTGCAAATTAAATTCATAAACTGATTGAAGAAAAGTAAAATATTTGACATAAATGTTGACAATTACTACTGCACAATGTCTACATCTAGAAAGTTGTTGAGTAAAACAAATAATTTTAGTTTCTTTGCATAAAATAAAGGAACATGAAATAAAAAGTATTTGGTTCATAAAGAAATCATCAACTGTTGTCTGACAGAGACAAAACTGAGATTAATGTTTCATTTTATTCTCTTAAACATAAAATAATCTTTCTATCTCTGATCAATATTAGCATGATTCCAGATTTATAGCTGATCTGCAAGGATTAATTATAAAAAAGTTTCTAAATATGCAACTAAAAAATAATTCCTCTAAAGTAATTAGCGAGTTTAATAAGAACAAATAAAGCACTTTAACATATAATAATGGATTCTTTATGTTCTGGATCGTTGTTGGGTTTTCTGTGGATTTGTGTCATTTTCCTCTTCCTTTAGGCTCCGCCCCCTCGCAGCTGCAGCTCATCTTTAGGCTCCGCCCCCTCTCAGCTGCAGCTCATCTTTAGGCTACGCCCCCTCGCAGCTGCAGCTCATCTTTAGGCTCCGCCCCCTCACAGCTGCAGCTCATCTGAAATGGCTGCAGTTTTTCTATGTAGACTCTCTGGGTGCTGTGAGGTCAGGCTCATCTTTATGTTATCAATTTCTCCTTTCATTTCTTTCTTCATGTTCTCTATTTCTCTAGAAATCCATCAGAGACAGTTTAGTTTTAGAAAAAAGTTATTATTCCAAAATCAAAATAAAACTACAATCTTTTTTCTCATCTTACTTTCTTAATTTAAGTGATAATAAAACATTCAGTTTAAGCATCTAAAGAAAATGTTGAATCTGCTGTTTGAGTTTTTGAGGCTTTACTTACTTTCTCTCTTCTCTAAAATCTCCAAACGATTCTGATTCTCCTTTTTCTGAGTCCTTCTCCTTCTTCTCTTTGTCCTTTTCCTCTTCCTTCTTTTTGTCTTTCTTCTTGTTGCACCTGCAACAATGACACAAGGACAGGAAATTAATGCATGAATTGTTTTCTTATAGAAAACAATATGAAGAAGCATCAACAGAAGTGAATAGTTTTACTTTTTCTTCAGAAAAGCGACCGCCGCTGCTCCTGCTGGTGCAAGCAGACCGAGAATCACCTTCCAGGTTAAACCTGCTGATTCTGCAGAGGAAGAGGAGAAGCACTGAGTGTCTGCATCATTTATAACTCACTTTAATTCATAAAGAACAAAAAAGCTTCCAGCAGTTTGAACTTCACAGCCGTTCTGCAGCAGCTCAGAGAAATGATGTTAGTTTCACTGATCAGGACGAAACGTGATTAATGAATCTGAAATAAAACTTTTATCTTTTGGGTTGTTTCTTGATCTGCATTAATAGAAGATAAAACTGCTTTTTAACTAGTTGCTACATAGATAAATAGTTTCTATTTAGTTATTTTCCACGGTTTCATCACCTTCTTTTTTCAGAGTTTCCATCCTGTTGTTGCTCCTGGTTCTGATGGTGCAGCTGTAGATCCAATCAGAACCGTCTGGACCCGTCAGAGAGCTGCTGATGTCATAAAGCTTCTCCTCAGTCTGATGGACTGTGGTTCTGTTCTGCAGAGCCGTGTTGGATGGAGGCTCAGTGGACCAGGTGAGTTCGGGTTGAGGGTAGATCCCCTCTGAGCTGCAGGTGGTTCTGGTTCCATCCTGATGGATTCTGATGTCAGAAACTGGAGCTGCAAATAGAAGAAAATGCATCAAAAACAGAAACTCCAGAGAAAAGCAGCTGGAAAACATGAAATGTATTTAATAAAGTATTTCTACCGTCTATTTCCAGGTTTATAAATGTTCCAGTGTTTCCTGCGCTGGTGCTGGTGTTGCATTCATATCTCCCCTCATCCTGAATCTTCACCTCCTTCAGCAGCAGCGAAGCGTTTCCTCTGGAGATCTGATCCGGGAACAGCGACGTCCGGCCCTTAAAGTTCTGGTTCTGCTGACCCAGCTGGTCCTGGCCGTCATAGTAGGAGTGAAGCACAGAGTCTCCAGCTGATGACGCGGTGGACCAGTGGATCACCAGATCAGAGTCGAACAGGAAGTGACAGGGCAGCAGGCAGCTCTGTCTGAACACACAGGAAACGTCCAGATCTGCAACAGGAAACAGAAACTTTAGGTCAGAAACTTTTTCAACTTTATTACATTAGTAAGTTATACTTTCATCAAATCATTGAACAAAAATGAACACTGCGGAGCCACAGAGTCCTTCAATCAGTGGTTGCTTTAACTAGGCCACTCCTCTAAAGAAAAAATCCTGAAGTTCAACGTTTTAATATCAACTTGAGGCAAAGAACAAATAAATCAGAGTAAACAGCGAGCGCATCAGAACAGCTTTAAACCTTTTCTCTCCATCGGGCTGAAGGAATCAGATTAAAGCTCAGCTAACAAAACCAACAAAACAACTTCATCTTCTAAAATATTCATTTGACAATTATAAATAAATAACAGTAATTTAGTTCAAAATTTATGCAGAGTTTCCAGGCAGAGACGTTTTAAACTCTGGGTTGTTTCCTCAGTCAGTGTTTAAGTTTCCTGCTGTTTGCTCATAAAAACACAACAAACCGTCTTCATGTTGAACAGGAAGCTGAACATTTCGACTCACCTGCTGCAGAAACACAGAGCAGAGAAACCAGAACCAGGAGGAGAGACGTCTCCGCCATGTCGTCGTTCAGCCGTTCACTGATCAGGAGTTCCTCAGAGGAGCTTAATGCATTAATTAACCCACATGCAGAATGTGGAGGCGCCACATTGTATGAATTCCCTGCAATTCGCCCTCAAGCCAACAGGAAGTTCAGATCGTCAGTCAAAGAATCGACGAACTTGAACAACTAAACACGAGTTAATCATATGATCCATATGGATCATATGGATCATATGGATCATATGGATCACATGGATCACATGGATCACATTGATCACATGGATCATATGAATCTCAAATGTTCTGCTCAGAACTGAAAACCTGATAACTGAGGAGTTCTGGTGAACCAAACGGGTCGCCTTGTCCTGATCCGATTAGCATCTGGAGATGAATTCAAACTGACGGATCGGGGGAAAGTTTGACAGATTAAATGACAGATCATGTCATGTGGAGGTTAGCTGATTCTCCTAGAGGAGGATTATAATCTGTCAGCCTCCAGAACCCGTTTGATCCGGATCAGAGGTTCTGGCTGCATGTTTGGAGAATTTCATCCCATCATCAAACATTTAAACATTAAACCCTGCAGGAGCTGAGATCCTGTCTAAAGAGACGAAGAACATTCAGGAATTAAATATCAGGTGAAAAATTATAATCTAATCTGGAATAAAACATCCTGGAGTTTCATAACTGAGGCAGATGATCTGTTTCATACTGACAGATTTAACAAATATCTAAAAGACTTTTTTCATATTTATTTTTTAGATGAAAGTTGCATGTTGTAGTTAAACCAGGAAGTCGAGTTAATAAAGTCGGACATGTTTAATCATTTCTAGATGAATTTAATGTTTTGAACTATTTGATGAATGTTTGGTTAATTTTCATCTGATTCTGTTTCCCACAGATTTTATAAAGTTGTTGGTTTTTCAGCTGATTTATAATCTGACTCCGTTTCCATGGCAATCAGCGATCAAACCAACAAGAAAAAACTGAAATATAAATTTACAGTTGGAGGTGAAGACAGCGGCCCCTAGTGGACACATTTAAAACTACCAAAGATAAATGAAGGACAGTTTTGGTCCTCACAGGCTGCCGTCCAGCCTGTTCACACGTCATTAATGCCAATAAAACATTATTATCTAAGATATATTCAATTCAATGTGAATTTATTTATTAAATCTAACACATTAAACAACAATATGTTTAAAAAACAGGAAATTTTACAGATGGATGTAAAAATGCAACAATAAATCAACATAAACTCATTCATAATGAAACAACAGTTGCATATTTACAAATGTAATTTCAAATTATAACTTCGTCTTTGTGGCTCATTTAATTTCAAAGCAACGTGTAAATTAGAAAAACACCATAAACCAGAAGTAGCATAATAATAAGAATCTATTATTATGTTTAGCTGCAATAAATGTTCAGAAAAAAGGTTTCCCATAATCCAGTTCAGCATCATCTTTATGCAGCAAACCACATTTTATCAAACATTTCCTTCATCAAAAACATTTAATCTATAAAACCTCTAAAATAAAAGTTTTATAGATTATTACCTTTTTGTTTCTTTTTAATCCTATTTATGTGTCATAATTCCCATTTTAAAAGACAACTAAAGTTATAAATATACTGTGCAAGTAAAAAACTTTTGAGTTATTGAAGCAGTTTAACACTTTGTTGTTATTAAAATTCATATTGAAGGCAGAAAAACATGAAGCACCTCAACATGAAATAATGATCTTAACCTGCAGCTTTTGTCTCTTTTCCTTCAAAGTAAATGAAAATCTTAATGAAAGTTTTATTAACTCTCTGCTTGATCTTCAGTTCTGTCATTTTCAGTTCAGTTGATTCTTTATGTTTTGGATCATTTTCTTGTTTTCTGGTTTTTCTGCCTCCTGTTTGTCTTGTTTTCTGGTTTCCAGTCATTTTTCTCTGCTTTTCTTCCGTTAGGCTCCTCCCCATCACAGCTGCAGCACATCTGGACTCAGTCCTGTTTTTTCAATGGCTCCATCTCTTTGGGTTCATTAGAGTCAGAATCTTTTTTATTTTCCTGTTTTCTAGATTCTTGTTCACTGGCAGGTCCATTTGTGTTACTGTTTAAATGATCCATCTCCGTCTCCCTGCAACAAAATTCACCATCAGATTCAGTTTAGTTTATATTCACTTGTTTTCTGTAGAACAAAGTCATATTTCTAAAAGACAAATTAAACATTTTGTTTTTACATTTTATTTGCTTTGTGAATTTAAAGGAGGTTAAATTATGTTAGTTTTTTTCTCCTGGTTTTGTTACAACAGAAAATAAAACTTTTCTTTGTAGTTGCAGAAAATTTTGGGGAGAAAATGAATAAAAATTTATAAAAATATGATTTTCACTCGATGGCAAAATCAATAATGTTGATAAAAATCCTGGTTTCTCTGTCAGTAAAGTGACAAACATTCATTATAAGCATTTCAAATGTCTCATCAGTTTCTGATTGTTTACTCACTCTTTGCTTTGAGGATTTCCACCTGATGCTGATTGTGATTCATTTTTACTCTTTTTACATCTGTAAGAATAAAGCAGACATGGAAAATGAATAAATGGCTTGTTTTGTTCAGGACAAGAAAATATTTTAGTTCAGAAAACAACAAGAGTAAATTTAAAAGAGAACATAGATAAACATGTAGTTTTACCTTTTATGCACAAACCCGACAATCCCTCCTATGATTAGTATGACCACTGCTGCAATCAGACCAATCAGCCACCAGCGTATTTCTTCTTGTTCTTCTTGATGTAAAGTTCCTGCATAAAAACAAATGGAAAAGTTTAATGTTCCTGTGTGATTTAGTTATACTGCAGCAGCACAATGAGGTTATTAAACTGTTTCACAGATTAATAAATAATGATATTTATTATATAACAAGTAAAGTAAAGTCTTCACTTTTGCATATGAAAAAGTGGTTTTGAATAATAAAGATTTAATCTTCTGAAAATATTGATAATAAAATAAACATTATCAGTTCTCCACAGTTTTCTCACCTGGTTTTTTATAAGTTGCTCTCCTCTGGTTGCTCCTGGTTCTGATGGTGCAGCTGTAGATCCGATCAGAACCGTCTGGATCAATCAGAGAGCTGCTGATGTCATAAAGCTTCTCCTCAGTCTGATGGACTGTGGTTCTGTTCTGCAGAGTCGTGTTGGATGGAGGCTCAGTGGACCAGGTGAGTTCAGGTTGAGGGTAGATCCCCTCTGAGCTGCAGGTGGTTCTGTTTCCATCCTGATGGATTCTGATGTCAGAACCTGGAGCTGAAAATCGAAGAAAATGCATCAAAACCTGCAACAGCAGAAAAAAGCAGCTGGAAACAAATGGATGATATTAATTCAGTTTTACCTTCAGCCTTCAGGTTTATAAATGATTCTTTATAACCTGTGCTGGTGGTGCTGGTGTAACATTTATATCTCCCCTCATCCTGAATCTTCACCTCCTTCAGCAGCAGGGAGGCGTTTCCTCCAGAGATCTGATCCAGGAACAGGGAGGTCCGGTTCTGAAAGTTCTGGTTCTGGTGACCCAGCTGATCTCTGCCATCATAGTAGGAGTGAACCCGAAGCGTTTCACCTGGCAGTTTGATCCAGTGGATGAGTGGATCAGAACCAAGCTGGATCCTGCAGGGTAACATGCAGCTCTGCCTGAAAACACAGGAAACCTCTGGATCTGCAACAGGAAGGAATTATTTTAACTTTGGTTCAGATGTCAGGTTTAGATTAAATCAGCTTCATAAACATGAAATAACTGAGATTCTTCTCGTTCAGTCAGTCCTACTAAAGGGTTAAAATGCTCCTGGTGGTTCTGGTCCAATAGTGACACCTTGTGGTCATTAGGGCTTTTATTTTGAAGAGCGGCTTGTTTCTTCTTCGTGTGTTTTGGGCAGACTGTGCTTCCTGTCTGATACCAGAAAAAGCAGGTATAAAAATACACAGTTGTGTTTTGTGATAAGAAAGATAATTAGTTTATTTCAGAAAGGATGGAACATAATTGGTTCATTTGTTTAAAAAGTAAAACTGTTGAAAAGTTAAACATAATGCATATTGTTTGTGAACATTAATCTGTTTTATTCTTATTTAAAAGAAACAAGCAGGAACCATTTATCTGGTCTTCCTGTTTTCTCCTCTAGGGGGCGTATGTCGGAAGTGGGATGGGTTACCAAAGGTCAAAGGTGATTCTGTTGGGTGTTGCTAAGAGGTGAACTGATTTATGGTTTTGAGTTTTGTTGATTTGCTTTGGTCTAAATACAAGACAATGTGAAGAAAGTGAATCACTTTGTGATTTGAGTCCAAATGAAAACCAAAGATTTCCAGAAAAATCAGGAAGATGAAATATAAGATTTTAGCCTCCACACATGAAATACATTGAATTGTTTTATATTTGTTCAATAAAAAAAACTTGCATTGAATTTGAGGCAAAATAAATGAACAAAACAAATCATCAATCCACCATATTGTGAATTATAAAGAAACATTAATTCAGAGAAATAATTTCAAAAACTACAAACTGGAATAATTTCAAAAGATTTAAATAATCAAATCACAGAATTTAATTTTAAAGGTAAAACATTAAACTACGTTCTCCTTGTAGAGCGATGAGTTTAGCAGGATGGAGCTTCAGCTCCTTAGACAGAAAAAATACCTTCAATCATGTTTGTCAGATTTCACTCAAGAGCTCCGACTTTAAGCTTTTATTTTGACGATCTGAATTAGTTAACGCCACATTTCCTAGTGGATCTTCCTGAATCTGCAGAGTTTTCACTTCAGGACTTTAAGGCAAAATAAATATATTTGGCCTTTTTGTGTTTAAAGTGAAAGTATAGAAAAAATCCATCTGTCAGTTTAAATGTTTTAATGTATGAATGTTTTCGACTTTATCCGGTTATAAAATTAGATATAAATAACTGTGAATAAAACATCACATTTCAGTGTTAATTAAAAATATAGGAAGTCAAAAGAAAAAAACTGAATTTAGTAAAAAGTGAAAAAATTAAATGGTCACACCTGAGTTTACAGGAAGTGAAGATTTTTATTCTGATTCTATGCAGTGTGAAGGTTTTGTCAGTTTTTTATATTTTTAATACATAGTTTAATTGAAACTGCAGAGCAGAAAATGCTAGATATTCATTTTACCCTTAATATGAGCAGCTAAATGAAGACAGACCCAATAAAAGGGTCTGATTTTCCAGCTAATGAAACTGTGTATTAATTTAGTCGATTCTGGAATAAATCAGGTTTATTTTATAAAGCAAATATTTTCTTTTTTGAATATCTACAGTCTGAATATGGAAAGTGATGGTGAGAAATTGATCCTTCGGTAATCTCATTATGTCACGGTAATATTTTCGGTCTTTATGTTGTGAAATATCATCAGTATTTATTTCCTGGTTTCTGTTCAGTCGTTAGATTGAAAACCAGAAGAAAATCACAACAAACCGTCTCCATGTTGACATGAGAGGAACAAAGAAAAGTAAAAGTTTATCTCACCTGATCCAGAAACAGACAGAAGAAAAAATATTAACAGAAATAATTTAACGTAAAACGTCTCGGCCATGTTGTTGATGATCAGTTGCTTACTGATCTGATGTTACTCAGAAGTGGGAGTAACAGTGGCTGAATGTTGTAGGATCACAACTTGACAGGTTACATTCCAGTTACATTCCAGTTTTGCTGAACGTCCTAAAACATTTACCTGCAGCTCTTCATTATCATGATAAAACTTTCTGTTTGTTTCTTCTTGATGTCCAAGAGAAAAGAAACATTTTGACAAAGACAGAAAATGTTTTATTGTTTGTTCAAAGTCCGAAAAGTTTATAAAAAACTAGATTAACATGTAAAATATTAACTATGAACATAAAATCCAGAACTGAAGATTAAATGACATCATTATGATGTTTGTGGAGCCGAGAGGAATCTCAATGACGCCTAAAGGAAACTTATATTTATGAATGATGTTAGATAGATGCAGAGGCCATTTTTATGTTTCTGCTATTTTCTCCTACTACTCTCCATTTATGCCTTGGTTGAGACTGTTTCTGTTTTATGTTTCTGTAGAAACAGCCCCACCTAAAAAGCTGGTTGGGTTTCATTCTTTTCTGACGGCGTCAGCAGCTGCTAATAGTTTCACTTCCTGTGTCAGGAGCTGAAATATTTGGTTCTGTGTTTATTTGTTCAGCTGTTTCCCTCTGAACAGAAGCAGCAGAACTACTTACCTTGATGTTTATCCAACCAGCAGACAGAACCACTGGCTGCTTCACCATCTCTTCACATCTTTTATCATTTGGCTCCATTTTTATTTTGAGCAGCTTTCATGGTGAACAAACATCCCAGAGCATGATGCTGCCACCACCATGTCACTGCGGAGGAAGAGTTTTATTTCTGTATCATGTTGGTGTTTTGCTGAAATGTTTAGGTCTGCAATAGACAGATGACCTGTCCAGGTTCACCTGTCCAGTATGACCTGTCCAGTATGACCCGTCCAGTATAACCTGTCCAGGTTGACCTGTCCTGGTTGACCTGTCCAGTATGACCTGTCCAGGTTGACCTGTCCTGGTTGACCTGTCCAATACCTGTCCTGGTTGACCTCTCCTGGTTGACCTGTCCTGGTTGACCTGTCCAGGTTCACCTGTCCAGTATGACCTGTCCAGTATGACCCGTCCAGTATAACCTGTCCAGGTTGACCTGTCCTGGTTGACCTGTCCTGGTGACCCTGCCTCTCGCCCGTTGGCAGCAGGCGGTTGGCTCCAGCTGCCCTCTTGACCCCGATGTTTAACGGTGGAAGAAATGGACAGATGGACGCCATGTTTGGGTTTTTCTCTGATGGTCAAACCTTCTGCACTTTCTTCCTCCTCATGTGTCTCCATCCATCTGTCCATCAAGTCTGAACAGCTTCGCTGTTGCTGCTGAGGAAAACATCCACCTCAGCATGATTCTGCCACCACCATGTGTTAGACTGTAGGCACAGTCTCCATGGAAACAACCAATAAAAATGTGACATAAAAGTATTTTCAAAGCAAACCCTGTAAAACACAATCATGTCACCACAATGGCCACTAGATGGCAGCGTTGGAGTCCCAATATAATCCATGTTTTGAGATTATTATGGATTAGGACAAATAAACTTGGTCAATAATCAGTTCAGTTAGATTTTAATGAATTATTTCATGTTTATAGTCACTATAGTCTGGTTTAAGGCTAAAGATGTAACATAGTTATTCAAATGAGAGCAAAAATCCTGTCATGTGTAAAAATGCCTTTCTGCTGCCTGTAGGATCAAAACCTCAGATGTTTCCCATCTTTATTAAATGAAATGTTTAATACATAGAGGTAACTTGTCTTGAAATTAAAATAAAAGACCATTATATCAAATATGGCAACTACAGCTGTGAAGTTTTAAATGATATTTTTCTCATTTTTTCTAAAAGTTACATTTTAAACATGTTAAAGCAGGAAATAATAATCTGAAGTTCAGTTACTGCAGGTTTTAAATTCAGAAATGCTACAATGAGCCATTCACTAAACAGAGTAAAAACTGAGAAAAATATTAAAAGATTTCAGAAAGGCACTTTTTTTTGTCCTGAGGAGAAAGAGGGAACTAGTTATCCTTGCTGCTGTCTCTACACAGATCTTTAGTTTTTATTGAATTTTCTTCAGAATGAAAAATGATCACAACTTCACATCCAGTGGGTCGTATCATTATTTTCAGTATTTCTTGAGCGAAACGCAGAACAGAACAAAACCAACATGATGGTTCCTTCACTTTCGTTCCCTGAAACAGAAACAGAGACAAAGAAAAAAGGAAACATCCACCTGATCCAAACACGACAGATAAATACTGAGTTCTGACGAAAATAATTTATATCAGGAACTTGGTGGATTTGTTGCTGCGGGTTCTGATGGTGCAGCTGCCATAACCAGAACCAGGACCAGAACTGGAATCAGAACCTGAACCAGAACTAGAGAGAAACAGGAGACAGCAGGATGTCTTTCTATTTATGGTGAACAGAAAGTTTGAACAAAAACCAGTCAGAGCAGATTTTCTTTCCCAGAACTGAAAGCATTTCTGTTGGTGCAGGTCATAATGTCATTGAGAGCCATTATGACTGTTGTACCAACAATATCTTGTCGTCAAGAGACTGAAACTCTCCATATTCTGTTCCAATTTAAAGCCTGATTGTTAAACTGGGTGAAGAAGGAAAAGATATGGACGTTGTTAAAGGAAAGTAAAGGCACAGAGGAAACATCCATATTGTAGCTTCATATAATATGGACTCAATGTGTATTATCTGATCAATGAATTTACAATGATTAACCCTAAATCAATGATCTACAGTCACAAGTTAATAATGGAATCATTCCTGTCCATGTGAATGTGATGCTCATGTGCTTTTCCTGTTGAACTGCAAACAGATAAAATAAAAGTTAAAGTGCAAATGTTAGTGATCCACTGCTGGAATCTGAGTTTTGATCTCTATAATAAAATAAATAAAATTAGCTATGCTGCTAATTTGACTCTGCTTGTATTTAATGCTTTGGACTCAGAACTGCAACCTGTGAAAGCAGGTTGGAGACTTAGCCTTTGGTTTCTGGAGATTCCAGCTTTATGACCTTTGCTCCGTCCGTCAATCCTTCCGTCCGTCTGTGGCGATGTCGGCTACCCACCCGACCCGTCTTGAAACACGGACCATGTCTACTCTGACTGACTTACATTTGTCAAGATAAACCAATTTAATAAATTCCGTTTAAAAACTTAATAAATTGAGTTGGATAAACTTAATTGAATTACTTGTTACCAAAAAATCAATTAAGTTAAGTTGGTTCAACTAATTTCTTTTTAGAGTGTACATGATATACATTATGACATCATATAAATATGTCTATTGAGGTAAATAAATGTATATATGAACAAAACAATCCCTTTCTTAAGTGTTTAATTTATAATGTTTATACTTTGAATTAAATCATCTTAAAGGGGATTAAGATGATTTAATCATAAGTGTTGCCTTATCAACAAGGCAACACTTATAATTCCCTCTGTACAAAATACAGTAAAGATGAGGCTCTTAAATAAAATGAAAGGTGATTTTAAAGCACTTTTTAAACTTGCTTGATGAACTGATTTCTAATCATAAAAAAGTGAATTTATCCTCCAGAGTTCAGGCGTTCAAACCTCTGTAAGTTCAGAATAGTATAGAGAAAAATCATCTTTACTTCTTCATGTAGCCAGTGAGAAACGACAGAAATAATCGTTAAGATTAATGAGCAAGATGTCTGCTGATTATGAGCAACACTGGAAAAAAGATTTTGAATCTGTGAAATCAACAAAAAAATTCAAGTTAGTATCTTTACAAATATTTATTTAGTAATGAGGTTAAACTTTTGTTCAAGATACAAGATTTTTTTTTCCAGAAGATCCATTTTCACATAGCATCTGTAAGTTTGTCCATCCAACAAAAAACATTCTTGTTGTCTTTTCTGTGTTTCACTGGATATTTTAAAACACCAAATATTACCCATAAGCCATCAGTTTTCTGACACCAGTAGACCAGCAGTGACTGGAAGTAAAAGCAATTTTGAGCTAGAAGTTACTTAAGGTGGCAGTTCAGTGTTGGTGCAGCTAAGCAAAATTGATCAAGTTATTTTAGGTTTGCAATACTTAAATCAAACAACATAACTTCAGTTTTATGCATTTTATTCTTTAGGACAATATTTGCACTGTCCTCCCTGCAGCAGCAACTAATTAAACCACTTTTTTAATTGTCATGAAAATCAGATTTAAGATGTTTAAGGTGAAAGATTTCAGAGCTTCATCCATGTAGTCAGCTGATCAAGAATGAGGCTTTTAATGAGGTTTATATTCCTCATAGGAAGTCATTCAGTGACCTAAAAGAGGACAATGAGTCTCAACTTCATGACATTCTGGCCGTCAGAACCAGAAGCACCTTCAGCCAGAGACCCACAGAAAATCAATCAATAAACAAGTTTATTTTTAAAACACCCTTCATACTGATAACAGATCAATAAAGACATCATTTCTGTCTGTAGCCATTAGGATGTACAAAGCCCAAGTCTGAGTAACTTAAATCTAATTTTCTCTGCTCTCATTTATATCATTTCCCTTTGGGGATCAATAAAGTGTGTCATATTCTATTCTAAATGACACATTGCCATTTATTATATTATAAACTAATATACATTTATATTTATACGCACAGTGGCACAGTTGGCAGCACTGCTGCCTTGCAGGTTCTGGGTTCGATTCCCGGCCCGGCTCTTTCATGTTCTCCCTGTGCATGAGTGAATTTTCTCCAGGTACTCCAGCTTCCTCCATCAGTCCAAAAACATGACTGTTAATTGGTTTCTCTAAATTCTCCCTTGGTGTGTGTGTGTGTGTGTGTGTGTGTGTGTGTGTGTGTGTGTGTGTGTGTTGTCTGTCTCTGTGTTGCCCTGCGACAGATCGGTGACCTGTCCAGGGTAAACCCCGCCTCTCGCCCGGAACGTAGCTGCAGAGGCAGCAGCTGTGAGACATTTCCTGTACAGACAATATGTTATGAAAATACAAAAAGAACTTAATAAGAAAAAAATGTAAGCAAATATGTGCAATTTAGTTCATTTTAAGTTTACAGAACTCAGCTAAGTCAATGCATTTGAGCAAGTTGGAATGACATAATAATACACATAGCTCATCTCCACTGTAAAACCTAATTAGTTCTTCCTGCTGTAAAAATACATGTAAACTTGTCAACTCTTCTTTTTGTATAAACAGAAAAACAAAATAATGCAATTTTAGTGAATGTAACTTGTTAACTTAATAACTCAGACTGTGATCTTATTTAAACAGCTATAATTTAGAGATGTGCTTTGTTGAAAAAGTGTTTTCTTTCTATTAGTTTCCCTGCTCATATATAATTATTATCAATTTAATGGAAGAAATAGGCTTTGGAAAAGTATTTTAACATCTTAAGATAGTAACTTCTTGAGGACATTGTTGTTGTCCTCGTGGAAACATTGCCTGGTATGAAAGACGTTTTGGGAAAGTCAAAGAGATAAAAGTTGTGCAGTGGACGTCACAGAATCTTGATTCTTTTCTTCTATAGCAGCAGAGTTTGATTCTTTCAGACAGTCCTCAGATGTCAAGGAGTTCCTGCAACAGAAATCAAAATCATTTCAAATTAGAGCAATAATCTATGTTATTATTCTCTTGAACAAAATAAAAAAAAAAACTGGAAACGATGCAATAATTTTTATGCTTATTATAGTATAGTTATAATCATAGAGTGCAGAAACTATTTACATACATTTAGTCTATATTCTGTACTGACCCATGAGTTTCAGGCTTGTTTGGTGTCTTTGTGTTGGTTTTTTTGCAGCCTAAGAAAAGTTTGAAAACATTAAAAAAAAAAAAAAAATCAGGAAATTGACATGAAAGAAAATCACAAAAGTCATTTACCTTTTATTGTTAAAACTGCCACAACCACCACTGTGATCATTAATGCTAGTGGAACCCCAATCACCGTTCTAGAGATCTTTGTTGAAATATCTGTGAAGGAAGAAGCAGAGTTTGTCAAGAGATGCAGGTAGGTGAGGAAAACATTTAACTATTTGTTATGTATTCAAGAATTACAGGGAAATATTTAACTTTAGCAATTTTATTAAGCATAAGTCCAAAATGGAGAAAAGTCTCTTTTTTTTAATTTAACTTGTTCTTACCAGGTTTGACCACACCTGTCTTTTGGTTCGTTTGAGTTTTAACGGTGCAGTAGTAGGTCAAATTAGGGTCGTGGTCCATCAGAGAGCTGCTGATGTCATAAAGCTTCTCCTCAGTCTGATGGACTGTGGTTCTGCTCTGCAGAGCCGTGTTGGATGGAGGCTCAGTGGACCAGGTGAGTTCAGGTTGAGGGTAGATCCCCTCTGAGCTGCAGGTGATTCTGTTTCCATCCTGATGGATTCTGATGTCAGAACCTGGAGCTGCAAACACAAAAACATGGAAGAAACTAACAGTTAAACTGATAACAACACATATGTCATATTTAGGAATAAATAAAAAAGTTCTGCAAGAAAAATTTCCTCCTTCTATTCAAGAGGAGACCTGGTGTCTTCGTCCAGTGGTCAGCCAATCAGAAGCAGCGTTCTCCCTGTGCTGCTTCCTGGCCCACACAGTCAGGGTCATTTAGTCTCCAGTTAACCTAACATGCATGTTTTTATGGAGGGTTTAAACCAATGCATGCACGGGGAGAACCTGCAAACTCCACACAGAAAGGCTCCACTGGGATTTGAACCCAGGACCTTCTTACTGTGAGGCAACAGTACTGCCAACTGTGCACCGTGCAGCATCAGATGCTAATTTACCTTCTATTTTTAGGTCAACAGATGCTTTTTTGTTGCTTTCGGAGGTACTTGTGCGGCATGTGTATCGTCCTTCATCTTGGATCTTCACGGCTGTGAGCAGCAGAGAGACGTTTCTTCTGGGGATCTGATCTGTGAACAGAGACGTTCTGCCTCTAAACTGCTGGTCCTGGTGTCCCAGCTGGCTTTGATTATTGTAGAAGGAATGGACAAAAGGTTTCCGTGTCGAGTCTTGAATCCAGTGGATGACAGGATCTGTTCCAGCCTGGAGCTCACAAGGTAAAATGCATCTCTCATTTAAAACACAGCTCACCTGAGTATCTGCAATGTGGAAAACATGAACATCAAAGCCATGAATGATTTATTTCTGAAGAAAAGAAAATCACTACATGACCAAACATTGTCAGGTTAACACAGAACATTTCAGCAGCAAAGCAGCTCAAAGAGTTTTACATGATAAAAACAAAACCGTATTAAATTATTGTTTCTGTTTTGTCTGCGTTTGAAACGGTCTGCAGATAATATGTCCTGCCTCTAGATGTCCTCAGTGTTTATTTACAATGAACTGGGCTTTTCTCTGTTTTCTTGTTGCTGTTCCTGTTGGACTGGTTCTACTTGGAACCAGTGTCTACTGGTTTTTCTTTACCAGTAAATATTTTCTGAAGTCATCCTGTCAGTTTCATGCTTTAATTTGAACCCTCCTGTTATGTTGAAATTGACCAGTTTTAAAGTTGTTGTTTTTTTAAATAGTTGGAAGTTTTATTTTTTTAAATAAAACTTTTTCTATTTGTCTCAGTAGGTGCACAATGCATACAAATTGAAAATTTATTCATTTTACACATTTGTAAATGCTCTGTTTTTTTTGTTGTTTTTTTTGCCCTGTTTAAAGTGGTTCAATTCAGTCTTATAATACAACATATTATTACAGGGGTGGCCAACCAGACGAAGACCAAGAGCCACATCATTTGCATGAACATCAAACCATGCGTTCCTCATACTGACATACTTTTGCTCAGCCAGATTTATTGTAAATTTCACACACTATTTTAACACTACAAAGACCACAGGCCAGACATTTTCAATAATGAACACTGCACTTTCTCATGCAAACAAACTCCGTTTAACCAAATAAACAAACAATAATAGAACAATTTATAATACATTTTTTATTTTTTGTTATGTGCATTACATGTGTTATTTAATGGTGTGAGCTGAAGTGGCGCTGAAGGTTTGAAACGTAAGAGCCGCTTGGAACCGGTAAAGGCGCCGCATGTGGCTTGCGAGCCGCGGGTTGGCCATCCCTGCTTTTACATAGTTACATTATCACAGAGTTTGCCAAGACAAAACCATGTTTGGTCTTTTTTGATTATAACCCACTGTTTTAATCCAGAGCAATAATTCAGAATATTGTTTCCTGAGAAGAAATTTTCACTTAATAATTAATTATTTCTAGTTTCACTTTGAAAAATCGAGAAGAAAAATGTTAAAAGCTTAATTAAAAAGTAATTCTGTCTCTTCAGAAGTTTTTATAGACTATTGTATTATATTATATTTTGTGAACCTGAAAGTTCCATAAAATAAAATGTAATATATTGTTGTTGACATTAAAATACATCAAACTGAAGTTACAGTAATTTTTGTTACTCACCTCCTTCTGAGAGAGTCAACAGGAGACTCAGGACAGGCAGGAGCCTGAAGCACCGGATCTTCTTCATGCTCCTTTCCCCATTCTCAGGAAGCAAGAGACTGAGAATTTGTTTCTTCCTTTTATAAATCACCTGGAGGCTGGGTGTGTCCAAAGCTTTCCATCTGACTGATTGGTTTTGGTCCAGAGCTGGACACACCCACACCATTTGTCGTAAACCTGATTGGTTTAGGATCAATCAGGTTTAGGACCTAAACCAGTGGCTCTGGACACACCCATACCCACAGCTGGTTGTGTTTTCATAACAATCTTAAGATTGAAGATTCTTAAACCTTCAATTTAAGAATCTTCAATTGAAGCATAAATCAATCAATTAATGCTTGATTTTAATGCTCAAGCATTTCAATCTTCATTTTAATGGTTGCATTATTGAAGGCTGGTTTCACATCAATAATTATTAAAAAAGAGGAAAGTAGCTGCGCTGCAAACACAGTTACTTTGAAAACAGATCATTGCATGTAGTTACTGCCAGAACAAGCACTTTACTGAAAACAAACGTCACCAAGAATAAAGGGGAAATAGATAAGAGAGAAACATCCACCCATGTCACTTCAGCAGCTTAACATTTGTGTGTGTGTGTGTGTGGGGTGTGTGTGTGTGTGTGTGTGTGTGTGTGTGTGTGTGTGTGTGTGTGTGTGTGTATGCTTGGCTGAGCGCCAAGCTCTCACTGAAACAATATACTTCTTATATATGCTGAATTGTAAATATATTTGAACAAAAACAAGAAACTATATTAAAGCTCATGTCTGCAACAAAAGCACAGCAGTGGTTCAGTTGTTCTGGATAAATGACTCCTAAAAATATCAAAAAATCTTTCAAGATGACACATTCAGAGATTTTACAGCTTCAGCAAATAATCTGATAAAACCAATTTCTTTTTTGTTGATAAGAGGAAAGTTTTTACCTACTAGGATCAAATGTTAAGCTTTATTTCAGTCGACAACAACCTGACAGGAAATTGGTTCACAAATCTGGTTTTAAAATGTTTCTGGTGTTTTTTCTTAATCTTTGTTATTTAATGCATCAATCAAAGTTACTTAAACCAAAATTATTTAAACGAAAGAAGGAATGCAGTGATGAATGCAGCTAAGTCAGATAATATCACTGGCTTCACCTTTAGATCTTCTTTCTGTTCAGACTCTATCAAAACACTTTGCAACATCTCCCTAACTCATTCATTCATTCATTCATTCATTCATTCACACAGGTACTGCTTCCACCTCCAAACTCACAGAAATTATAGCTGAACTGTTTTTAAAAGCTGCTGATATTTTCTGCTTTTAACAAAGCTGGTCAAAGACGAGATTAGAAAAATGATTTTGTTTCCATGAGGGTGAAACCTGGTGAAAGGTTAAACCAGGATCAGGTGTGGCTGAAATAACAATAAATCTAAGTTCATGGAGGAAAATGACTAATAAAGAACAAACAGTACTGACTCACACAAAGCAGTTTTTATAAGACAGCAAGTTATACCATAGCACTGCTGCATCATTGTTCCAACAGATACAGAAAGTTATTTACTGCTGTTAGTAAAGGATATTTTAAGACTGAAAGTAAAAAGCTGCAGACAGATGCAGGGAACTGCAACATTCAGAAAACCTGTTTTTCTAAACCTGTTTAAGCTTGTTTTAACCTTTCACTGCCAGTTCAGTTGTCTGCTCCTCTAAAGCCCTAAAGCTTTAATACGGCTGCATTTGAAACCGTATTAATATTTTAAATATTTTACAGAAGAAGAACAGAATCAGAGTAAATTATGACTCAGAAACCAAGAACATAAAGACTTGGGCTGTTTTTTGTCTCAGCAATATGAAGCTGCAGCTTCAGACTGTTTAACCCTACAATGAGGAAAAACCCAAAAGAATAGAAGTTGCAGCGCCACCTACTGGACAGACTACAGAAGGCATGAGTAAACTGGATGAATCAGCAATCCCTCACTCTGCATTTGACCAGTTGAGATTCATTCTGAGAAATAAACTCGAAATATCTTTAAAACAACTGCAAATAATCACTGAGAAACACCAACATGGGGGCGACTGCTGACTGCACTGAAGACACAAAAAGCAACTGATAATTTAGTGTCCCAGAATGTTCATAGAAAGTTGAGTGGAAGGATAAAGTGAGCAGCAGAAAGAGCTGCAGCTTTGAATCAAGCAGAATCCATTCAGGGATTTGGAGAAGCTTCACCAGGAGACGACTGAGGCTGGACTCAGAGGATCCAGATGGACTCCAGACATGAGCATCACTTTCATCATGAGAAACAACTTCTGAACCAGAATCAGAACCATGACTACTTCCCAGAGGAAACCCAGAACCCAGAACCCAGAACCAGACTGTTCCTCTGTGGTCCAAAGTCCTCAATAAACAAACATGAAATCTTACCGTGTTTGTTCAGTTCATAGTCATAATATCTAGAAATAAACTAAATTAGTCACTTTTCAGGAAAATATAGGAGCTTCTTTTAAATCAGAAATTCATTAAAAAATATGGTTTTATTAAGATGGAATAATAATGAAACTAAAATCAAAACAACTTGGATCCAAACAGAACCAGAACCACAGAACTCTTTTGCAGCAGCTCAAACTGAATTTTATTCATCATTTGGTGCAAAGTGACAGAGTTTGAACTTACAATAGAAGTTGTTAGTTTTAAAGTGCTGATTATCTAGAGAACAATAATATATTGCAAACTGGAAACACAAAAACTAAAAGATTATTATCAAAATAAATAACTTCCTGCTGGCAGCAAACAGTTTACAGTAAATAAAACATGAACACAATGGATATCATGACTCAGGCATCAAACAATAAACAAAAAGAAAACTTCATTTTATAGAAAATCAATAATGTGCAAAAATATTTCCATTATATCAAAGTAACAAAAATGAAGAAATTCTGAAAATCTCTGCTGTTGAAATGTTTTATTTTTGTGTCACTTTGCGCAGATTGAGATAAATATTAAACCAAAAAGATTAAGATTCTTCTTCATAAAACCATTTATTACTTGCAGCTCATTTACAACAGATTGTGATAAATTACCAATTAAAAACAAAATATTCCTAACAGAGCAGGATGGAAATCAGAGACGCTTCACTTCACTTGTTTTGCAGTTATTACAGATTCAGTTCAGAAACTAAAGTTACAAATTTATATTTAAGTATCTACATTCGTATTCATTTGTTTAACAGCTTTGTGAAATAAACTTTTAGAAATATAAGATTTATAGAAGCAAAAGATTTTTTTCTTTCTAAACTATTTTTCTATATTTCATTTTATTGCCTTATGTACAAAAATAAATATCACTTTAAGGTGTTTGTTTTGGGAAAATCATGTCCAGTCTATAAAAAGGAAACTTGAGATGAATTAAGAATTTTTACAGAAATAATAAATAATTTCTCCCAAAACACAAATTTATGACATCCTCAGTTCATCTTCAGATCGTCAAATGGACAGTTAAAATTTTTTTTTGTTTTTGTTTTTTAAATTTGACATAAAATAGTTAAAGTGAATAAACTGGTGCTGGTCTGGACTGGGCCACTGGGAACCTGAACTGGTTTCTCCTGAAGATCCTCTGATTCTCCTGCAGCGCAGAGAAAATAAAGGAAGAGTTCAAAAATAACGATTATTTATTTTGATCATTTTAGAGTGTAACAACATGCTAGAGAGAAAAACATTTCCTGAGGATTTACTGACTGTTGGTTTGAAACTCTATTTCACCCCAGAAGAGAAAATGTGTTTTTTGTTAACATGAATATTTTATAAACACATTCATTTATTTTCTAAAATTATACAGAACTACAGTGTGATTTATTTATGCATTTACTCACCTAGTCTTGATGTCCTGCTCTGTGGTTCATCATTCTGTCACAACAAACACCTGGAAAATTGTTTGAATCAGATATTCAACACAAACAAGCATAAATAATTTAAAAACTAAAGTCAGGGTCTTATCTTACCTAATATTATTACAAATATCAGTATCCATAGACAGAATCCTCCAATCATTATCCCAATTGCTACACCTGCGTCCATAACTTTCTCTGGGAAGAATAAATTCAGATGTAAACTCATTTTCCTGTGGATGATCTTTGATTCTAGTATTATACACTCATAAAGCAGTGCTATTATTTGCCTGTTAGTGAAAAGTAGAGCAGTAATAATAATAATATCTGTGAACCAAGTCAATATTTACACCAGATATAGTCTAAAAACAAAAGATGCAGCTGAATGAAGTTAATATTTAGAAAATATTAATAATAAAGTTCCTCACTTCCTTTACGGAAAGAAACTTTCTTCCTGGGTAAAGAGGCAATCTTTCTGTTTCTGCCGCTGCTGACGGTGCAGCTGTACGTCTGATCATAATGACTGTCAGAGACCAACAGAGAGCTGCTGATGTCATAAAGCTTCTCCTCAGTCTGATGGACTGTGGTTCTGTTCTGCAGAGCCGTGTTGGATGGAGGCTCAGTGGACCAGGTGAGTTCAGGTTGAGGGTAGATCCCCTCTGAGCTGCAGATGATCCTGTTTTCTTTCTGCTCTATAATAACTTCTGTTATTAAAGCTGCAAAGCAAGCAAATAAACACATCAAGAACAGTAAAGAAAAATGACATTAATTTAAAATGACCCCAATAAAGCAGGTCTACCTTCAACCTTTAGTTGAATGAATATTTTCTTGCTTCCTCTCTCTGTGCTGCTGTAGCAGCTGAATCTTCCTTCATCCTGGATCTTCACTCCTGTCAGTTTTAAGGAACCGTTTCCTCTGGAGATCAGATCATGAAACAGAGACGTCCGACCTTTGAACTGCTGGCTCTGGTGACCCAACTGGTCCTGACCATCATAGTAGGAATGGACATTATGTCCTGATGTTATGTAATTCCAGTGGATGACAGTATAGGAACTGGGATCAACATTACAGGGTAAAATGCAGTTCTGTCTGAAAACACACATAACTGATGGATCTGCAGGAAGACACAGAATGAAACCAGATATTTATGCATGTTTATACCTTTCCTTGCATTCAAAACAAGGAA